TTTGAAATGGAAGAACTGCGGGGGGCGCCTTCGTTTTCTTTCGTCCTTATCCCTTTCGGGGTGGTGTACCGTAAGCTTTGATTGTATTATCAAAAACAACTCTAGTATGTATTCCTTTTACAATGCTGATGCGAGAGGTCCTCTTCATCCCGCATGAATGCCTGCCTAGGTCCTATTCGATTCTGTTGGGAAAGCCGTACTCCTCAGGACTGCTGGAAGCCACCATGGGCACAGCTCCCCATGAATATAAAATTGGATTGTGGTGCTTATATAGTATGTTTTCCTATTACAATGCTGTTGTGACAGGTCCTCTCCTTCCTGTGTGAATGTGTGCCACGGTCCAATTCTATTCTGTTGGGAAAGCCATACTCCTCAGGACTATTGGAAGCCGCCATGGGTACAGCTCCCCATACATATAGAATGGGACTGTGGCCCGTATATAGTATGTTTTCCTATTACAATGCTGTTGTGACAGGTCCTCTCCTTCCTGTGTGAATGTGTGCCACGGTCCAATTCTATTCTGTTGGGAAAGCTGCACTCCTCAGGACTATTGGAAGCCGCCATGGGCACAGCTCCCTATAAATATAGAATGGGACTGGGGCACATATAGTAGTATTCCCATTACAATTCCGATTTGTTAGATCCCCCTCATCTTGCATGAAGGCGTGCCATGGTTCTATTTGATTCTGTTGGAAAAGCCGTACTCCACAGGACCGCTGTAATATGCCATGGGTACAGCTCCCCATAAATATAGAATGAAATGTGGCACGTATATATTATGTATTCATATTACAATGCTGATGTGATGGGTCTTCTTTACCCTTCATGAGGGTGTGCCACGGTCCCATTCAATTCTATTGGGAAAACCATACTCCACAGAACCACTGGAAGCCACCATAGGTAAAGCTCCCCAATAAATATAGAATTGGATTGTGGTGCTTATATAGCATGTATTCCAATTACAATGCAGGTGCGACAGGTCCTCTTCATCATGCGTGTATGCGTGCCATAATCCCATTCGATTCCGCTGGGAAAGCCGTACTCAACAGGACCGCTCCCCATAAATATAGAATGACACTGTGGCACATCTATAGTATGTATTCCTATTACAATGCTGATGTGATAAGTCTTCTTTACCCTTCATGAGTGTATGCCACGGTCCCATTATATTCTATTGGGAAAACCATACTCCGATGACCACTGTAAGCCGCCATGGTTATAGCAGCTCCCCATACATATAGAATGGGACTGTGGCCCGTATATAGTATGTTTTCCTATTACAATGCTGTTGTGACAGGTCCTCTCCTTCAATGTCCAATACGGACTCAGTGCTTCCTGTAGCAGTCCACCGGCCAGAAATCGGCCAACCCCGGAGGATATCAAATCAAGCAAATCACCTTCTTCAACTCTTCTCTGCACATAAAGGACATTCGGTCATTTCACAAAGCCCACACACCGGGATAAAGACACTAAGTGACAGTTATCTTCATTTGAAGCCAATGAGATTTGGAAGTGACGGTCACATGACCAAACCAAAGCTGCTCATCCTTCTGTGAAAGCTTCGTGAACGGAGCCTATTGCATCTGAATGAGCTCCTGAGAGGTCCAACTGGTTTAAAGCCGCAACTTACTAGACTCGTGAATCATTCTTGCCGCCCGATCCTCAGCCACCAGGTTCGCACACCGCCGCGCGGATAATTCAATCGGACAGAACCATTTCAAAACAATTACTTGTCGGGGGATCTCGGGTCAGAAGAAATTTACTTCTGTTCGGCAAACCTTCCAACACAAAACGAGGCAGCGAGTTTCATGTCCTACAGCAACGTACAGCGAAAATAACATCGGCTCGTCTTCTGGGTTTATTTTAAATTGACATTATTTGTGGTTTTAAAGGAGAATTAAAAGATACATTTTCTCTTTACTGTGATTCCATATCGTCCGTTCAGAAGGAGGAGTTACAAGGGAACGTACCACCAATGGCATTCATGCTGCTAATCTTTTTATTAAAAGACTCAAGCAACGTTTATATAAAAAAATAACAAGGCTACTCTGCCTCCTTGTGCAGGGTGACCGCTCTTGTTTCCGCCCCTCCTGTAATAAAGACTAGTCACCGCTGCTCTCTCCTTTTGCAGGGTGACCGGTCTTGTTTCCGCCCCTCCTGTAATAAAGACCAGTCACCGCTGCTCTCTCCTTTTGCAGGGTGACCGGTCTTGTTTCCGCCCCTCCTGTAATAAAGACCAGTCACCGCTGCTCTCCTCTTTTTGCAGGGTGAGCGGACTTGTCTCCGCCCCCCTCCTGTAATAAAGATTGCTCACTGCTGCTCTCTCTCCTTGTGCAGGGTGACCGGTCTTGTCTCCGCCCCCTCCTGTAATAAAGACTGGTCACTGTTGCTCGCTCTCCTTGTGCAGGGTGACTGGTCTTGTTTCCGCCCCCACCTGTATTAAAGACCGGTCACTGCTACTCTGTCTCCTTGTGCAGGGTGACCGGACTTGTCTCCGCCCCCCTCCTGTAATAAAGACCGCTCACTGCTGCTCTCTCTCCTTGTGCAGGATGACTGGTCTCGTCTCCGCCCCCTCCGGTAATAAAGACTGGTCACTGCTACTCTGCCTCCTTGTGCAGGGTGACCGGTCTTGTTTCCGCCCCTCCTGTAATAAAGACCAGTCACCGCTGCTCTCTCCTTTTGCAGGGTGACCGGTCTTGTTTCCGCCCCTCCTGTAATAAAGACCAGTCACCGCTGCTCTCTCCTTTTGCAGGGTGAGCGGACTTGTCTCCGCCCCCTCCTGTAATAAAGATTGCTCACTGCTGCTCTCTCTCTTTGTGCAGGGTGACCGGACTTGCCTCCGCCCCCTTCTGCAGTGGGTGGGGTGTACAGCACAGTGGTGATGTCACTGCTCATACAAGGTGATATTGCAAAGGCATTAGCTGCACACAAAAATGATTTATATCCCCTGTGGCTGAGGAATATATTTAAATGAAACATTTTATGCCCGGAGTTCAGCTTTAAAAACCATCTCGAGGCAAATTACAAATAATAAAAAAAAAAAAAGGCTGCAGTGAGTTACCCCCAACGTTGTATCTTTATTATAATAAATGTAGAGAAAACTAAAAAGAAATAATCTTCCTGTCAGAGGTAACACAAGACAATCGGGATGAAATTGCTTCGCAGTGTTACAAGTATTTGGCAGGAAGTGGCGCCTTCAGGAAGACTTTTTACACCGAAATCAATTAGAATCACTTCACACCTCTCACTGCAACGTGAAACTATTCGCACAACGGCGTCTCCTGCTGCAAAGATTCAAACGCCGACAACGCAGGTGAACCGACTGAGACTCTCATCATAGGATCAACTCAAGGTGAACGCCGAACCCTGGAGTATAGTCACATATACTCCGATATAAGTACAAGCGCGTCTTGTAAAAATGTTTATAACTTACTGCAGAACGTGAAATTCAGTTATTTTTCACACAACAAACAGAAAATAATAATAAAAATAATAGTAGAAGTAGCAGCAAAAATACTGGTAACAGTAATGAGGATAATAATAATACTGGTAATAATAGAGAAGCACCGAAACCGAAAGGAAAACAAATGTTGGACCGAAAATTGTTTTTTTTTCTTTTCTTCAAATATTTTCTTTATTTTTTAATAAACTTTTAAAAAAATTTAAATATTATTTTTATTCATTTATTTTTATTAAATATTTTTATTTTTTACTTTACTTTTAGGGGCTTCGGGGAAATATTAGGGGTCTAAACAGACCACTGATATTTCCGTTTTAAAATAGAAAAAGGGACAGAGGACACAAAGTCCTAATTCTCTTTTTTCGCAGCCCCTGTTATCAATGAACAGGAATCCTCGATACTGAGTGTTCCTGTTCATTGATAACATGAGGACAGAGTATGTTTACTATAACCACAATCATGAATGAACAGGAAGTGATGTAGATGACTTCCCATTCATTCATAATTGAGGATATAGTAACCATACTCTGGCCTCAATTATCTACAAACACTCAGCGACCACAGACTGCTTGTACCGCTCTCCATCCTGACACGCTGTCACAGGAGGCGGGGTGGGGCTGTGCGGGAGGAGAGCTCAGCCTCCTGCGACAGCAATGCCAGCTCTCTCCGCCCACACCCTTGCTGTCACAGGAGGCTGAGCGAGCGGTGCGGGAGGAGAGCTCAGTCTCAAGTGACAGCGCGGGCTGTCTCCGCCCCCACACCACTGCTCTCCTGATCTGTGACAGGAAGCTGAATGTTGCAGGGAGGAGAGACACCGACCGCCCACAGCGCTCTCCTCCCGCAGCGCTCGGCCGTCTGTGACAGTTTATCTCCTCCCCACTGGGACACAGAGCAGCAGTGTTTCGGCAGAAAAATCGCACTTTCGGCATTTTGCTAAAAATTGCTTTTTCGGCCAATATCTTTCGCCGCCCGATATATCGCTGCATCCCTAATAATAATAATAAAATGTATTAAGAGTTAAGAAAAATATTTCCACCCAACACCAAAATATCACAATGGTCCTCCAGTCAGGAAATGAGGCGGGCTCTATCTGACTTGCTGCATATTGTGAGGAGCTCGACGTGTGCGGTGAAATCAGAGGAAGCCATTTCTGTCCAGGAGAGGAGCCGCTACAACTGTGCCAGACTGAAGGGAAGGACAGAGGTCAGATAGAAGACTGAAGGGGAGGACAGAGGTCAGATAGAAGACTGAAGGGGAGGACGGAGGGCAGATATAAGACTGAAGGGAAGGCCAGGGGTCAGATAGAAGACTAAAGGGGAGGACAGAGGTCACATAGAAGACTGAAGAGAAGGACGCAGGTCAGATATAAGACAGAAGGGTAGGACGGAGGTCAGATATAAGACTGAAGGGAAGGATGGAGGTCAGATAGAAGACTGAAGGGGAGGATGGAGGTCAGATAGAAGTCTGAAGGTCAGATCCTTAGCCTGATCATCGATGGCGCTGAGCAGATCAAACTTTACAATAAAGGAGGAAATCTTACTGATGAAGTTGGCTTGCCCAGTGTAGATGGTGTACTGCAGCTCGTAGGAACCGACGCTGAACTCGTCATCGGACATCCAGTGCACCGTGATGGTGTCGTGAGACGCGGTGCAGAGTTCCTCTCGAATGGTGGGAGGGTTTGGAGCTGTGAATTTAGGGAAAGACAATATTACATTATAGGAAATACCGGAACGTTTGGCAAGTAATACAAAGCTTGACAACCCAAAAAAAATCTTAAATCTGATCACATCCCCTCCCCCCCCCCACCCCCACCCCAAATATACCTCCAAACCTCCCTCTCCTCATCTAGATCATGACCCGACATTCTTTATTCCTTTGACCTTGCTCCCATCAGCTTTCATAACTTCGCGTGACACCATTGTCGGGCTACAGGAGGCTTAGTTCCTATTAAGACAGACACACCCCCAGAGCTGCATCTCCCAAGAGTCCTTTTTCTATACACAGTGTGTGGGCAGGCTCTTGTAACTCAAGGCAGCAGCATTGTTTTTCTTGGAAAGTAGTCAACATATGCATGCGGTGAGCAGGAGAGCGGCGGAGTTCTGTAGTCCAGCAAGCTGGGATGACAACACTATCTGGGATTTCAGTGCAGCACAGGCGCTATGTTGTCAGCCCAAACAGGAAGTTAAGAGCGCAAAGGATTTCAACAGGTATTTTTCTGTACTGTCAGCATTTTTAAAGCGATTAAACACCGGAAATGTGAATGCATTGCAATGAAACTTTGTTTTCCCTGCCATAAACTTTCAGCATGGAGCCCGGTGGTTTACACTTGTCTCTCCAGAGGATTCAATTATAAAGTTATTTCAAAGGAACAGAAACCTTCTCCACACTGACAGAATTAATGAGCTTGTGGGTATCTACATTGTGTTCCCCGTCTACAAACAATGTTTATTTGTAGATTTATCTTTCGTTCTTTCTTTCACCTTCTAGACTCTGGTGACGGCGGCTGGTCCCGGACTTCCCTTGTGTTTAATTACATGGCGCTTCCAGGAACTTGTTACCGATATATGTGGAGGGATTGCGATCATGCCTGCTACATTGTGTTTCCTGGAATATTCTGTATGGTCACCTGAATCTAATAAACTAAGAACACCATACGGCCATGTGGTCCAATAGCATGTGGTCCTGGACCCTCATCTCTACCTATATGGCTAAAGGTATGAGGACCTCCCTCCCAATGTGTTGAGCTGTCTCCAGTGAAGGTTCTGCTGACCATCACACCTCAATGGTCAAAAGTATGTGGACGTCCCTCCAAAAGATTTAGTTCCTGGGTGAAGGGCCATATTATATTACATGATACAAAGACATTGTAGACAAGTGTGCTCTTCTAACCTTGTGGTCACAGTTTGGTGAAGACCCTTTTCTGTTCCAACATGACTGTCCCCTGTGTACAAAGCCAGTTCCATAAAGACATGGTGTGACCGGTTTGGTGTGGAGGAACTTGAGTGTCCTGTGACCTCAACCCTACTGGACACCTTTCAGATAAATACACTCTACGGCCAAAACGTTTATAGACATCCGACCATCACACCCAAATGGTCAACAGAATGTGGACTTCCCTCCAAATGATTCAGTTCAGGTGTCCCAAGTGAAGGGCCCTGTTATCTTACATGATACAAACAGAGTTTAGACAATTGTGCTCGTCTAACCCTGTGGTCACAGTTTGGTGAAGACCCTTTTCTGTTCCACCATAACTGTCCCGTGTACAAAGCCAGTTCCATAAAGACATGGTGTGACCAGTTTGGTTTGGAGGAACTCGAGTGTCCTGCACAGAGCCCTGACCTCAACCCTATTGAACACCATTAGGATGAATTGGAATGAAGATGGTATGACAGGTCTTCTCATCCAACATCAGTACCTGACCTCACAAATGGGCACATAATTCCCACAGACACACTCCAAAATCTTGTGGAAAGTCTTCCCAGAAGAGTGGAGGATGTTATAGCTACAAAGGGGGCAACTCCATATTAATGGCCAAAGGAGAAGGGGGGACATTCCTTATTGATGGCCATGGTTTTGGAATGAGATGTCCAACGGGCTCAAATAGGTGTAATGGCCAAAGGGAGGAGGGTCACCACCATATTAATAGCTATGGTGGGAGAGACGCACCTCCATATTAATGGCTATGGTGGGAGAGACGCACCTCCATATTAATAGCTATGGTGGGAGGAGGACACCTCCATATTAATGGTATGGTGGGAGAGGGACACCTCCATATTAATGGCTATGGTGGGAGGGGGACACCTTTATATTAATGGTGATGGTGGGAGGGGTGCACCTCCATATTAATGGCTATGGTGGGAGGTGGACACCTCCATATTAATGGTGATGGTGGGAGGGGTGCACCTCCATATTAATGGCTATGGTGGGAGGGGCACACCTCCATATTAATGGTGATGGTGGGAGGGGTGTACCACCATATTAATGGCTATGGTGGGAGGGGCGCACCTCCATATTAATGGTGATGGTGGGAGGGGTGCACCACCATATTAATGGCTATGGTGCGAGGGGCACACCTTTATATTAATGGCTATGGTGCGAGGGGCACACCTTTATATTAATTTTTATGGTGGGAGGGGCGCACCTTTATATTAATGGCTATGGTGGGAGGGGTGCACCTCCATATTAATGGCTATGGTGGGAGGGGCACACCTTTATATTAATGGTTATGGTGGGAGGGGCGCACCTCCATATTAATGACTATGGCTTTGGAATGGAATGGCCGACAAATTCTTAGAGGTGTGATGGTCAGGCATCCGCAAACCTTGTGCCATATAGTGTACAATGCATCAATACAGTTTTTGCAATCGCTGCGTTGTAGCCGTGAAAGGGGAACGGTTATCTGTGGACCAAAAGTTCTCAGCATTCTATATAAACCTTCAACAAACCCGGGTTGTGTTAGAAGAATTGGGTGTGGGAAATTGAACATTTTGTGGAAGTAGAAAAGCCTGACCCCTGCCGGCATGCTGCAGAGACCCTTTCACTCGCTGTGGAAGCAGCGGTCTCTCTGCGGTTTCTATTTTTCAACATCAGGATCGGCATTTAATATGAATTCGGCTCTATGGAGGAAGCGTGAGGATCCCAGGAAGAGACCCGACATCTGCCTCCTATTGTTTGAATCTTTCAGAAGCAATGTATCCCCCTAGTGCAGCGCCGCGGAATCTCTGAACCGTTTGTACATTCAGAAGATTAAAGGGAGAGGTTATCAGAGGGAACGTTGATTTATTTTTCATCATCTTACCGGTTACGTAGTCCAGCCCTTCCAACAACTTCTTCTCTCTGGAAAAATCCAGGGCAAAGTTTTCAAAGGCATCATTTAAATTGACATCGGGGAGAAGAACTTGAGAGGATGCGGTTGCCATGGAAACCACATACATACATACATACATACATATATATATATATATATCATATATCTTTTTCATGTTTAAAGAAGAACTATGGGGCCAGTGTTATGGGGCCAGTGTTTTTCCCCATAGTTCTCCTCAGGGTCACGGGAGGACACAAACTAGCGTCCTCCCGTCACCTAAAGCTCGGTATACTGAGACGCCGCAGCCAGGACGGATCCCGACAATACTGTCGAGATCCACCCAGCAGTGTGAGTGACAGCTGGCTCTGCCTATCTAGAGGCAGAGCCAGCTGCACCCGCCCCTTCCCCCGTCCGTTCCGCCAGGCAGCGCTGGAGGATCGGAGAGGGGGGAATCCATGACGGGAGCCGCGAGTGACAGTCACGGCTCTCTGCAGGGACAGGATCGAGAAGTGAGCGATCGACGGTATGTGTTCGCTCACCTCCCGATCTATAGAGCCGGCGTGTGACAGTCTCATTGTCACAGGTCGGCTCGAACTAGGACGATGAGTGAAAATCACTCGCCTCGTAGTTCTCCTTTAATGCATGCATGCTAAGTAATGTGCACATGTAACACATACAATCTGTTTGTAAATAGCACATGTCTATAATTGTAGTGATATGTGGATGGATGCTGCAGGTGGACGCCATACTTAGACCCAGTTCCATCTCTACAGTAACAAACCCAGGCCCACTGTATGAGGCAAACACGTCTCCGGAGGGGACTATGTTCTGCCTCATCCGTAGGCCTGGTTTCATTCTGCATGAGATACCTCGGTCGGCTTTACATAACGTTTCCCCTTTTTAACAGCAAGAAGCCGACACTGTGTGTGGCTACTAGACGTCAGGACTAGCTGTTACTGAATGACCAGTCAAAATGGTTTCGAATCATGTGATAGCTGGATGGAGCTTCATTCACAAAAAACAAGCTTTTAGCCTGTACTTGAGGCTGAAGCCTGCCAGTGAACCATTGTTTAATAATGTAATTGTAAAAGACAATTTCAGTATTTAAAAAAATAATTAATTTAAAATATATACGTGTGTGTGTGTATATATATATATACACACACAGCCATGCCCAAAAATATTATTGGCCCCCCTTCATTTCTGTCAGATAATGCGCCACTTTGCCCAGAAAATTGTTGCAATTACAATTACAAAAAAGTTGAGAAAAAAAAAAGCCAAACCTGACACATTCCACGCAAAACTCCAAATATGGACTGGACAAAATTATTGGCACCTTCTACAAATGGCAAGAAATAATTGCATTCCAAGTTTTTGTGGAAGAGCATGGACAGTCTCGAGGTTACAAGTCCATCTCCAGAGATCTTAAAGGAGAACTATGAGGGGGAGTGCTTCTCACTCACCTCATAGTTCTAGCCGACCTGTGACAATGAGACACAGGTCAGCTCAGTAGATCGGGAGGTGAGCGAACGCATACCGGCTTTCGCTCACTTCTCGATCCTGTCACGGCTCTCTGCCGTGACAGGGGAGGGGCTGGATTCCCCCCTCCCCGCTCCGATCCTCCAGCGCTGACTGGCGGAACGGATGGGGGAGGGGGCGGGTACAGCTGGCTCTGCCTCTAGATAGGCGGAGCCAGCTGTCACTCACGTAGCTGGGCGGATCCCGGCACAATTGTCAGGATCCGCTTCAGCTGCGGCGTCTCAGTATACCGCGAGCTGTAGCTCCCTATATACTGAGCTTAGGGTGACGGGAGGACGCTAGTTTGTGTCCTCCCGTTACCCTAAGGAGAACTATGGGGAAAAGCCCTGACCCCATAGTTCTCCTTTAATGTTTCTGTGTCCTCTGTACACAACATTGTCTGGACGTTTCCAGCCCTCGGCACTGGAGCTGATCTCCCTGGACGTGGAGGAAAGAGAACAAATCGATCGAAGATTGCAAGGAAGGATTGTTGGAATGACGGATAAAGACCCTCCATCAACTTCCAGACAAATTCAAGCTGACCTTCAGGCACCGGGTACAACTGTGTCAGCACGCACTATACATCGCCATCTGAATGATAGGAGACCCAGGAGGACCCCACTGCCGACATAGAAACATAAAAAAGCCAAAACTGACCCGAGTAAGTCAAAACCCTAACCCTGTGCTGTGGACAGACGAAACAAAATGACAGCTTTTTGGTTCAGCCCATTATTCTACTGTTCTTAGAAAAAGAAATGAGGCCTTTAACCAGTTGACATCCGCGGTGTTAAACCCCCTTCCCATCCAGGCCATTTTTCAGTATTCAGCGCTGCGGTACTTTGACTGACATTTATTCCGTCATGCAGCGCTGTACTGAAATGAATTTTATACCCTTTTTTGGGGACACAGTCCCTCCAGTCACACATGGTGGGGGGGTCACTGATGTTTTGGGGTTGCTTTGCTGCTTCAGGCGTGGGATGTCTTGACTGTGTGCACGGCATTATGAAATCTGAAGACTACCAAAAAAATGTTGGTGTGCAATGTAGGGCCCAGTGTCAGAACGTTGGGTCTCCGTCAGAGGTCACGGGTCTTACCGCAGGACAATGACCCAAAGCAAACGTCAAAAAGCACCCAGAAATGGTTCCAGACAAAGCGCTGGAGAGTACTGGACTAGCCCAGCAATGAGTCCAGATCTGAATCCCATAGAGCTGCTGTGGAGGGAAAAGGAACCTTCCAATCTGAGAGAGCAGTTGGCGAAAGAAGAGTGCTCCAAAATTCCTGTAGCGAGGTGTAAGAAACTCATTGATGATTACAGGAAGCCATTGATCCAAGGTCTGCGCTACCAAATATTAACTGAGGGTGCCAATAATTTTGTCCAGTCCATTTTTGGAGTTTTGTGTGCAATGTGTCAGGTTTGGCTTTTTTTTTTCTCCACTTTTTTGTGTCACCAATACAACATAATGGTCTGGCCCTCTAGCAATTTCAGCCCCAAATTATAGCCAATTTGCCTACAAACGTCAGGTGGTCATAACAATCTGGCCACTCAGTGTATGTCATGGCCAAAAAAAATTAACCCCTGGTCCCTAAAGGGTTATATTACTTTGTATCTGCCCCAGACTTGCTCTGGGAACGTCACCCACCTGTCTACTACGGTTTTTGCTGCCTGCAGAAACCTGGCGTGGTCGTTCTCCTTCAGGAGATGGTCGGCTTGATTGATTAACACTGTAGATCGCTCCAGTCTCTGCCGGCAGTTAGCAATTTGCTGCGCGAGTTTCCTCAGCTTTGTCACCTGAAAGCCGAGAAGGATTAATGTGGAGAGATAACGTCGGAGATGCTTCACATTTAAAGGGTCAGCCTGCTCGACAAAACACATATTGCAATTTGTCAGCCACTCTGCAGGGAAGATAAAGCAGATCAAAGTCCTAGCTGGAGGATGTCTAGGTTACTAAAGCACCACGTATCATAAACAACTGCAATTTTACATTTTTATGATCTACTGCGGCCTCTTTGGAGCCATTTCATGTCTATATGCACTCCAGTGATGGCTGCATAGCAATTCTCAGGGCGGGTTTCCTGATGGTGACAACAGAGGACCATGTCTGTGTAATATGTGCTGAAGCAGCTATGCAGAAGCACACTTGGGAGACAGGAACAGAGCTTTGTCACCCTATAACAGGTAGTGCCTGACCAAGGATCATGAGATATTACATTGGTGGTCAGTGGGAAGAATGCTCATTACATTGGGGGGTCAGCAGGAAGAATGCCCCTTACATTGGATGTCAGTGGGAAGAATGTCCCTCACATTGGTGGTCAGTGGGAAGAATGCTCATTACATTGGTGGTCAGTGGGAAGAATGCTCCTTACATTGGTGGTCAGTGGGAAGAATGTTCCTTACATTGGTGGTCAGTGGGAAGAATGCTCCTTACATTGGTGGTCAGTGGGAAGAATGTCCCTCACATTGGTGGTCAGTGGGAAGAATGTCCCTCACATTGGTGGTCAGTGGGAAGAATGCTCATTACATTGGTGGTCAGTGGGAAGAATGCTCCTTACATTGGTGGTCAGTGGGAAGAATGTTCCTTACATTGGTGGTCAGTGGGAAGAATGCTCCTTACATTGGTGGTCAGTGGGAAGAATGCTCCTTACATTGGTGGTCAGTGGGAAGAATGCTCCTTACATTGGAGGTCAGAGGGAAGAATGCTCCTTACATTGGTGGTCAGTGGGAAGAATGCTCCTTACATTGGTGGTCAGTGGGAAGAATGCTCCTTACATTGGTGGTCAGTGGGAAGAATGCCCCTTACATTGGTGGTCAGTGGGAAGAATGCTCCTTACATTGGTGGTCAGTGGGAAGAATGCTCCTTACATTGGTGGTCAGTGGGAAGAATGCTCCTTACATTGGTGGTCAGTGGGAAGAATGCTCCTTACATTGGTGGTCAGTGGGAAGAATGCTCCTTACATTGGTGGTCAGTGGGAAGAATGCTCCTTACATTGGTGGTCAGTGGGAAGAATGCTCCTTACATTGGTGGTCAGTGGGAAGAATGCTCCTTACATTGGTGGTCAGTGGGAAGAATGCTCCTTACATTGGTGGTCAGTGGGAAGAATGCTCCTTACATTGGTGGTCAGTGGGAAGAATGCTCCTTACATTGGTGGTCAGTGGGAAGAATGCTCCTTACATTGGTGGTCAGTGGGAAGAATGCTCCTTACATTGGTGGTCAGTGGGAAGAATGCTCCTTACATTGGTGGTCAGTGGGAAGAATGCTCCTTACATTGGTGGTCAGTGGGAAGAATGCTCCTTACATTGGTGGTCAGTGGGAAGAATGCTCCTTACATTGGTGGTCAGTGGGAAGAATGCTCCTTACATTGGTGGTCAGTGGGAAGAATGCTCCTTACATTGGTGGTCAGTGGGAAGAATGCTCCTTACATTGGTGGTCAGTGGGAAGAATGCTCCTTACATTGGTGGTCAGTGGGAAGAATGCTCCTTACATTGGTGGTCAGTGGGAAGAATGCTCCTTACATTGGTGGTCAGTGGGAAGAATGCTCCTTACATTGGTGGTCAGTGGGAAGAATGCTCCTTACATTGGTGGTCAGTGGGAAGAATGCTCCTTACATTGGTGGTCAGTGGGAAGAATGCTCCTTACATTGGTGGTCAGTGGGAAGAATGCTCCTTACATTGGTGGTCAGTGGGAAGAATGCTCCTTACATTGGTGGTCAGTGGGAAGAATGCTCCTTACATTGGTGGTCAGTGGGAAGAATGCTCCTTACATTGGTGGTCAGTGGGAAGAATGCTCCTTACATTGGTGGTCAGTGGGAAGAATGCTCCTTACATTGGTGGTCAGTGGGAAGAATGCTCCTTACATTGGTGGTCAGTGGGAAGAATGCTCCTTACATTGGTGGTCAGTGGGAAGAATGCTCCTTACATTGGTGGTCAGTGGGAAGAATGCTCCTTACATTGGTGGTCAGTGGGAAGAATGCTCCTTACATTGGTGGTCAGTGGGAAGAATGCTCCTTACATTGGTGGTCAGTGGGAAGAATGCTCCTTACATTGGTGGTCAGTGGGAAGAATGCTCCTTACATTGGTGGTCAGTGGGAAGAATGCTCCTTACATTGGTGGTCAGTGGGAAGAATGCTCCTTACATTGGTGGTCAGTGGGAAGAATGCTCCTTACATTGGTGGTCAGTGGGAAGAATGCTCCTTACATTGGTGGTCAGTGGGAAGAATGCTCCTTACATTGGTGGTCAGTGGGAAGAATGCTCCTTACATTGGTGGTCAGTGGGAAGAATGCTCCTTACATTGGTGGTCAGCAGTGGTTGAAGGAACCTCTAGAAACCTCTGGAGGAACATCTGGTTGAGGAAGGTTGTCCCAATCACCAAAACACATTGGTTTTGGGTGTCCTGACCCCTCAAAGTCCAGCGTCATGTGACCTGTGTCATCCTCTCCCGGTATCTATAAATCTATTGATATCATATTATGGGACATTTTCCGGAAAACTCACTTTCGTCTCCTTGATTTTGACGGAAATCATCTGCTTCCTTCTCTGAATAATGTCCACGAGTTCGTCACATTCCTCGTTGAGCTTGGCTTCATGCATGCTTGTGTTGACCTGCAGCAAAACATTACACAGGAAGACTTTAAAAAGGGGTCAAAAACTATTTAATATGCCAAAGATAATCCAGTTTAGTACAATGATTGCAACATTCTAATATATTAAATGGGTCACCGAACACAAAGTCTAAATAAGTAGATCTGAACCTCAACTGGGTGCCATAGATAATTGATTTTTTTTCCCCAAAGTCACATGTATGTGACTTTTTTTTTTAATGACTACTAATTCATAGAGAGCAAGGGTTGGGGACGGTTGAGAAGGTTTCCTGGAGTAGAGTCTTAGGGACTAAAGTGCTTTCTATTATATCTGTTGATCCAATCAGTTTCATTGTGTCCAATTTACTTCCTGTTTGCAGCCTTTTGAATGTCCAATGGCGTGGTCACCCTGAGCCTAGAGCTAAAGCCTGTGACTGCAGCTGCCTGAGATTGCCTTCTTAGGATAGTTAATGATATCAAAGGAAGTGCTGATGTGTCTCTCCGCCCACATACCCCATCCAGAAAGACAAGAGTAGAGGTCATGTGACTCCCGTTAAAAACATTAAAATTAGTTTATTAGGCCTGCTATACTTGTATTTTTATTAAGGGGTTTGCATTAGCTGCTACTCATTTGGGGGGGGGGGGGGGGGGACAAAGGGGGCCCAACATG